CACACCTGTCTAGGGAACTTTTTGGACCTCAATATAAGAGGTTCTCTGTTTTGTATCTTTTGATGGACCGTTGGAGGAAAATGGTCCCTGGTATCTCCGAGTCTGTATCTAGGTGATGTCATTTACAACACGTACAGACTTTGTCTGCTGCATCAGTGTGGCTCTGACTTTCCTCGTTATCTCTGCTAACCCATTCCACTTTTTTACAGACCTTTGCATGTGATGCAGCAGAAAAATAACTTGTTTGCTGCTCTGTCATTGTTCAGTTTTCCTTCAAGTCTCTTAGCTGACTCTTTTTTTTTTAAATCTTCTTTGCAGAATTTAAGCTTGTGATTCTTTTCTTAAACCTCTACACTTTTTTTTGGTTTCTTTTGGGTACTTGGGTGTGTCCATACCTGGAATGATACATCTCCATCTTTTCTAAGTGTTATACTCTTGGGAGGGTTTTCGTTATTGGTTTTTCAAACTCAATATTTTTACCGGACTCATTGGATTTCCCTGTCCTGACCAGCCAGGTGATGGGCAAAGTGATAAAACCAGTAAAATTCATAAATTTAATCATAACATGATTATGAAACCTCTGTGAAACCTCTCTGTTTGCTTCATCTCTTGTAAGATGATTCACTTGTATGTTTAGCCTATTATCTTCTCAGGGTAGGGAATGGTTTCTCCTTTTTGTAAAGCACCTAGCATTCTTTGGGCACTATTTTAATAATACTTGTCCATTAAAGCGTGTGAAGTGTGTTAGAGAGATGGGTTACTGTTATTAGGCTTAAACTGGTATTAATTATACAAAGCAATTAGTTGTTCTTGTCAGACAAAATTGATTGGGCAAAATGTGTATACTGAAGGCTAGATTGCTTGTGTAGAAGAGAAGGAAAAATCTTTTTCCCACCCCCCCCAAAGGTCTCTAATAGTTATTGACATGCTACAGTATTTGACGTCTGTTAAATATTAAATTATGATACTGACAATGTGGTATTTACAAATACTCAGAATAGGCTTAACTACTAAAATAATTTTGAATCTGGTCTGCAATTAAGTCTTTCTTGTAAGATTCATGAATGAAACCGTATTTGCAACTGGTAAAATACTTGGATTATTTTGTCTGATAACATCACTTAGCATCTATGTACTATATTCTTATTTTCAGCTTCAGGAAAATCAGGATGAGATAGAAAACATGATGAATGCAATATTTAAAGGTGTTTTTGTGCATAGATACCGGTAAGTTTACTGTTAAGTAATATGTGACTTTGTGAACTTTTTGTAGGGTTGGTTTTAAGTCCTTTTAATCATGTAATTTGATGCTTCTCCCTTGCAGAGATGCAATAGCTGAAATAAGAGCTATCTGCATTGAAGAGATTGGAATTTGGATGAAAATGTACAGTGATGCCTTTCTTAATGACAGCTATTTAAAATATGTGGGTTGGACTATGCATGATAAGGTAAGCTGCATGTTATAACAATGCTGTTTGCTGCCCTGAGTTTTGGAGACAGAAATCAGTCCATCTCATTTCAAATTATTAGGTTCAAAATAGAATTTAGTTTTTGAGCAGAGGGACCAATGAAACTTGAAGTCAGCATAATCAGACACTAATCCCATAAAGACTTTGGCACCAAAGGTTCTATTATGGTCCAGTGCCAAGCAGCAATATATTTAGGTCACCCTGTTCTATATGAGTATAGTTCATACTGGTCATCTTTTTTACCAGTTTGTCTAGATTTTCAAAAGTGAATGGCAATTTTTGTATACCATGGTCTAGATTGACACCTATAAAAGGGGCTGACTTCTCAAAAAGTTGGCTTTCTAAAGGAGGTATTAGCTGTAATGAAACTGTATTTTACCATGTATGGTTGAAGCTGGGAAGCTTGTCTTTTGGGGTGTGGACAGATTTTGAAACACCTTCGAAAGCATTTCAAAACAAAAGGGTCGGCCAGAAAATGTGCACACAGCCACTGTCCCAGCCCCAGCTGGAATTTGCTATGGGCTATATGCAGATGCTTGCTCTGCTTCCAGGACAGAGAAGTAGGTGGGTTGGGGGATCAGAATCCCTGCTCCTTTGGCTGGCTGCAAGGGAGTCTTGGTGGGGGTGGGAGCAGCAGTAAGGGCACAGAAGTCTTGTAGGTGTCTGGTGGGTTGGGGTGCTGGGGTCTGGAGAAGGGGTCAGCTGTGGGGCAGGGGAGCCTGTGGAACAGATGAGGCATCCTACTGCTGGGATATCCAGCTCTCAGTTTCCTAACCTCTGCTCCCCTCCTCTCCAGGAGCGGTGAGGCATTGTGGAATTGGGGGCTGGAGAGGTGTAGGTTCCAGGTTCAGTGCAGGCATGGAGATCTGGATGGGCAGGGGAAAGGGGTGTCAGAGCGGCAGCAGGTGCTACCTAGTCATAAGATTCTCAGTGTGGGTTATCAAGCTACATTGCAGGGCAACCACTGCAGGGACCCCAGTGTCAAGCAGCCAGAATCTCTTCTCTCCCATTGTCCTGCAGTGGAGAATAGAGGTGATTTTGAGGCTGGAGCACTTGTAACCTGATAGGGAAGGGGGCTCCTGGTGGTTGGCCAGGTAGCAGGCTGTCATCCCTCCCTCACCTGTGGAAGGGATGTAGAGCAGAGCCATGTCGGATTTTGGAGGACCTATGGGTGTCCCTGTTTCCATCCAGACATAACAAGAAGTGAAACATTCCAGAATAGCACTTCATTTCAAGAGATGCTATTTCTGGAGTGTTTCAGCCACTTCAGAGTGTTTCAAGAGAGCATGTACATGTGTACGGCTGGCCCATTTGGAATATTTTAATGGCATTTGAAACTGTTTTTGATTGTTATGCCTATAACCCAAAGTATATAGAGTACAAACTGCTCTGTAGTCTTCAGCTGAATTGTTTCACGTTGTTTATACTGTGCATACACACAGTCTTATTTGCTTAGTCTATAAAGGTGCCTTCTGACTTCAGACTAACGTGGCTAACAACCTCTCTCACTAAGACAAAAACATACCGTTGACTAACATTACTTGAGAGCTATGCTAATGATGCCAGTCAAATAATAATAATCTATAACGTAACTCAGGGTCTAAGAACTGAACTTAGTCAAACAAAGTTGAATTTTAGAAGGGAGAATTGTTTATGCTTTGAAGATTTAGATGCGTGGCTTTTAAAATTGATTTATTTTATCTTATTTTATTTAGCAAGGAGAAGTAAGACTCAAATGTCTTACTGCTTTGCAAGGGCTTTACTATAATAAAGAGCTTAATTCCAAATTGGAACTCTTTACCAGTCGATTCAAGGTTAGTATATTTTGGTATTTTTTTCCAAAAAACCTGAAAATTTAAGCTTTCTACAATTCCCTCCCCAACCCCAACACTTAAACTAGTTTATTTTTTATTCCTAGGATAGAATTGTGTCTATGACTCTGGACAAAGAATATGATGTTGCAGTTCAAGCAATAAAATTACTTACTCTTGTTTTACAGTAAGTACATGCCTCTTATGTCTGCTATAACTTAAAAATATGCATATGAGCAAAAATGATGGTTTAATATTAGATAATTTTAGGCAGAAGA